GGGGGGGGGGGGGGGGGGGGGGTCACCCCAGAAAATGTTGGAAACCTGAAGCATTCTTGGTGCGTTTTCCACGATTTTTAGCCGATAAATTTAATGTATCGATTTGACTTGAATGACATTTAATATAGACTAAGGACAGCAAAAGAAAACCCTTTAAATGGAACGCCCCTAGATGGAATGCAAACAGTTTTTTTAGACACTAAAAAAGTGTTACTCTTTCTCTTCAGTTTTAGACTATCGCTGAAGTCTCATCATGTTCAAGATCATATGCATGAAAAGGTTGCAGCAATACTATCTGGAAGAATTTTCCTAATAGGTCTATTGCAATAGTGGATGACATCGCCCCCGCAAAGAAAGGATATCTTTCAGCGTCATTTGTTTATTTGTGATTATACAAAATAATAAGAACGATACCAAATTTACATACTCCAGACCTGCTATTTCAACTTTGACAACCCTGCGCGCAAGACAATTTAGGAGACTTGCATAAACTTTTCAGATCTCATAAAATAAACCAAATGAACAGTTTTTGGTCCTTATGTATCGGTGGGTTGTCGGGACTGTCCGCCAAGTGTTCGTTGGCTCGGAGATCGTCGTCAACGCTGATGGTATCATTACTATCGTCGAGGGAGGGACGTCGACAATGTCCACATTGGAAGCTTTGTTCGTTGGCCTTTTTGAAGCATCGTTTGTGTAGAAATTTTCCGCAACATGGCATGACGCGGCAACGTACGACGGATTGGATGTCTAATTCCAATAAACAGATGAAACATAGGTCTTTGAACAGGGAGAGTTCGGGTCCCATGTCTTGCAATCGTAGACTTTGCCTGGAAGCCATGATGGAAAATCCCGACATGTGCTCTAGTTCGCTCGTTTAAATAGAGGGGTGTCATGTGATTTTTTTGGTGTGCCCAGTGGAGGGGGGATGGGGGTATCCCCCTCCGGTGCCGTCATGGAGAAGGATGATTTTGATTGGTGGAGGTGTTGATTAAAGAGGATGGCGCGGCGCGTGATTCTTTCTTTTTTCAAGATGCCGATTACGCGATCGTACTGTACTATTTTGGCGGAGCTGGATGTGACTTTGGAACGGTTGAGTGACGAATGGGAACGCGTGCAGTCCAAGAAGCGACGCGCTAGAAGTGCCGAGGCGCAGAACTTATTGAAGAGGAAGATGAATCTGATCTTGAGAGTCATCCTTAAATTTCAAAAGTGTCGAGGTCGTTTGGTCAAGATTGACGAGGAGTATGGGAATAGTGTTGAGAGGCAGAGGGCCAAAGAAGAGATGGAAGTGCGTCTGTCGGACATGGACAAATTATTTGAGTACTTCCGTAGATTTTGAAGACACAATGTGATATAAAAGAACTTTATTGAAAAATGTTTGTCAACCAAAACCAGAAAGCATGACATTCTGTAACAGGACAATGATGGATAGTCTCATCTTGATGAAAACCGCAGCTGGGTAATAAACGTGCACTTGAAATGATGTGTCTGAGTTTGTCGTATTTGGGGCAACCAAATGTTTCTAGATCGAGCGAAGGAATATTCAGTTTCTTTAACAAATCTTTTTCCACGTGTCCTCCCTTGTACCCCACCACTGTTCTCTGCCCTTCTTTGTACCTAGAGTAGATATTCTGGATCAGGTCTTCGAGGACTTCGGGGGGTTGAAAACCTTCTGCCTTGAAGGGTTGATAGCTCAATCCATGGATCTTCTTTATCGCAAAATTCACCGTTCGTTTGTCTTTGACGCTCAACTCTTTGTAAGGGATGGGGATGCTGAAAGCGTGTCTTCCATTCTCTCGGTTCCAAGTGTAATAACCCAGTTCTCTGACTTGAAAGGTCTTGTTGATGAAAAAACCTTCTAAATCCAAAATGAAGCAAAGATTGTTCTGTATCCCTTCCATGTTTGAAACTGACGGTCGACTTTTTTGGACTGCCTTTTTATGAAAAAATGGGTGACCAATGAAAGCTTGCTACGTTCACTTGGGCGGAGGCAAACCCCTTTGTTCCAGGTACAAACGTTCTTTGGGGGTGAATTCGTCATACATGTACTGTTGGTGAAATTCTTGGGGGGTGTTTTCTCGGAGTAGTCGGTCTAGATTGAACTTGGTCCGCGGGCTCAAATCATGTCGATCCCAATTCCCTTCGAAGGAACCCAGAGCATCTCTTCTCTCTACACTTGGTTGAAGTGGGTGGGATTCTAACCAAAGTTTTCGACCCTCTTCTAACCAGGCTCTGACCTTTGTTTGAGGGTATTCATCGGCCCATTGAAAGATGTCGCATTGGCGCTTGGAACACCTGAAGCAAAACTTGCCCGGGTTCTTTTCTGATCTGGACATGCTCATGATGAGAGGTCTTTGGCAGTAGCATTTCATTTTTTCTACGGGTAGTTGGACATAGTAGTCGTTCAGCATACGTTGGCCTGAAGTCACATAACATTGGATATTGTCGACGCCTGCACAGGCAAAACAATCGGGGACGGGACATTTGTAATAGGACCAACGTCCGTAGGCCGTGGTCGTCTCTCACTTCTTCAATTCTTGCTTGGGGCGTCTAGGGCAAGGAAAGTGTGTGTGGGGTGGTGAAGGGTTCCTGTACGGTGTTTTCCATTCTTGTTTCATACCGTCGAGGAAAGCATCGGGATCGAATTCGTCTCGCTTGACTTCATCCTCTGGCACGGTCCAGAAGGTGTGGATGGCTGGGGGTTTATCTGCGTCGAAGAAACAGAGGACAAGTTATGTTCTTTTTCTAACCGTTCGAGTATGCGCAATCGTCTAGGACCTAAGGGTCGTCGTTTGTGCTGAAGTTTGAGGATGAGTTTTTGTTCTTGTCGTTTTAAGGCGAAGTCACTGTTTCTTAACGGATAATCGTCTTCACAGGTTAATTCTATTTCTTGCATGGAGTGGTGACTTTTATCCTGAATGATTTTGACCGAGACTTTGGAATTGAAATGAACTCGTTTACCTTCAGGCGGTTCCTGCTTGATTTTCTTCTTGTTCTTCTTTTTGTCCGTTTTCTTTCTCTTCTTGGTACTAATGGGATATTTAGAGGGCGAAGGAGGATTGAGACTATAATCTACGAAACCTTTACCCTCATCCTCATGCGCTGTGTCTGGTAACATATAACGTGTGGGGGATTCATCTGGACTGGGGGTCCGCGGCTCCATGCTTCCTGTGGCTGATCACGACTGAAACTGAATCGAAATGAAACTCTGTCCTTGTATTTATAGGGTTCTGCATCGACCAATCAAGAGCTAGTACTTTCCCATGACGTGGTCAGTACTTTTCCATCACGAAAGTGATTTTACTTGATTGACAGGTATGGGTGTATAAAAAACGCGCTTCTACTGCTTGGAGTTCACTTGACACGATGGATTGCAGCGAGGAGACTCCCCTGGTTGAAGACAAGACCACCTTGAAGAGAAGGAAGAAAACGAAGCCACTTCCCAGGGAGCAAATACCTGTTGTTAAGATGGAGGTAGAAGAAGAGGAGAAAGAAGAGGAACCTGATGCTCTGATCTTGTTGATCAAAAAGACCATTGATACCATCATGCTGGAGGAAGCCTTTCAAGTAGGGAAAAAGATGGATAAGTTCCGAGGCGTTTTGGCTGGGGGGATTTTGAAAGTGGCGGATCAGGTGGATGCGGCGGGAAGTCGCGTGAATTTGAATAAGTTGGTGGACGCCATGCGAATTGGGTGGAAAGAGTGGAAGACAAGTGGGATGACAAAGTGACCCTTGACACGTTCATGAGAGCCGTGGACAATGAACTTTGGTTTACCTCGTGATTCAGTACTTTTGGGGTGGCGTGTTGCGCTATCAACCAATGAGCGTCTTGCCTTTTTTTACTATAAAACATTGCGTTGCAGTTCTTATTTTTATCATTTGATTCGAGATGTTGACCGTGTTGTACAGTAACAGTAACGAGATCGTTCATTTGATCGAGTCGGTGTGCGGCTTTCACGTATCGCCTTTGGGTTGCATCGATGAAGACGAAGGGGTCGATGACCTACTGGTGTTTGACATTTTGTTTTATGGTAAACCTGAGCACGACTGGACCATTCCTGAACTACTTCGTCGACGTCCTGAGTGGGGATGGCAGATTCTTCCTTTGTTGAAATCTCAAGTGCACAGAACCTTTCTGTTCACCATCGATTGGTACTCCATGGTCTACATCAAGGAATTGGATGTGATTCGTTTTGTGCCAGCTGTCGTTCCGCCGGTCAGAATGAAGGACAGGTTCTGTTTGTTGGCCACGTCGAGTTTGACCTTCATGATGAGACAGAAGATCAAGAAGATGGTGGAGCCCCTGACCTATGCCAGAGATATCTCTGTNCAGGATCCCTCGCAAGTTGCAAACCGACGACGGCAAAGAATTTTACAACGAGACCTTTCAAGCCTTGATGACGCGAAAAGACATTCGTCACTTTTCCACCAGCGGCGATACCAAAGCGAGTGTGATTGAACGATTCAATCGCACTTTGAAGAAACGCATGTATCGATATTTTACGGTCAAGAACACGTTGAGTTATTTACCCGTCTTGAAGGATTTGGTGTTGGGATACAATCATTCCTATCACCGTAGTATCAAGATGGCACCCGAGAAAGTCAACCTGGGTAACGAAGAGCAGGTGTGGAAGAATCTGTACGCGGATCGACTGCAAGCCAAACGCGTGCCACCCGAGTTGAAAGTGGGGGATCGGGTGAGATTGAATAAGAAATATCGCATGTTCAAGAAAGGGTATTTACCGGGTTGGACCGAAGAAGCGTTTGTGGTGGCTCGTGTGGTGCCGGGTGTGATTCCTACCTGTAAGATTAACGAGTGGGACGGAACGCCTCTGAGTGGCACATTTTACGCACAGGATTTGCAGAAAGTGACGGTGAAGAGCGACGATCTGTTTCGCGTGGAAAAGATCGTCAAGCGAAAAGGGGATAAAGTATTGGTTCGATGGGAAGGTTGGCCAAACAAATACGATACATGGATTGAGAAAGGGGCATTGGTCAAGGCGAGATGAAGGAGTTTTACGTCCAATTGATCAGCAGTTCAAGTACCACGGAATTCCCGTCCAATCAAGCCAACAGTTTCAAGAACCGTTTGCCTTACCAGATCCAATTGAAGGAGGAAGGATGGAAAGTGGGTTTGAGTAGCATTTCTTCCCCACCACCACCATTTCGACGTTATCAACAATTGGCTCATCGACCCCACCTCTTCGAAGATGATGACGTCCTGTTGCAACTTAATTGGACTATTGAAACTTTCCAACGGACTTCCGATGGTAAATGGTTTCCGTCGCCCTACCGTGACAACTTTTCTGTCATGGGGTCCGACCTGCACGAGGACCGAGTCAAAGTCACGAGTGGGAAATCGCTCATGAAATACTTGGTCAATCGTTACCAACAGCGTCTGACTCACTACATGGAACGTGAAAATGAAACTCTACGATCTCACGACGGTAAAAAATATTACGCTGTGTTTCGTTGGGAAGGGGATTCTTTGATTATTGACAACAGCGATACCTTCCTCGATGAAAATCCTAGTGATAGCATTAGATTGCGTCCCAAAATCTGGTTTGGTCCTGAGTTGGTCAAGAAACTGAAGTGGGTGGAAAAGACTGGAATTGACGATTACAAATTGAGTCATCACGTGGTGAAACTCTTCAAAGACGATAAAGTGCCCGCTTTCAAACTCGATTGGGTCAATCAACACAACGCGCATTCCACTAATTTTTGGAACATCACGGACAATGGGTCCTTACAGCTCAGTCCCTATTGCAATTGGCGCTTCGACTATCTGGACCAGCTCTATGATGAGCACTATGGTGGCGACGTGACCGTAAGTGAGAAGCTTCGTACGCCCATGTATGTCTATTGCAACGTGGCGCAAAGTACGGTGATGGGAAATCAAGTCACCGATCTCTTGAGAGAAGTCCCACACGAGCAGAACACAATGAGCTTTGAACCTACACACATCCAATATCTACCGGTGCGCAGCGACGTGTTTGACATTATCGAGACGCAAGTGGCTGAGAACGACGGAGAGTTGGTGAATTTTTCTTCGGGAGTTACGACTGTCACGCTCCATTTCAAACATGACGGATTTTTACGTGAGTCTACCGAGCCACAGTAGCAAGACCGAGTATCCCGAGAACCGATCCAATAGTTTCAAGATTCGTCTACCTCATCCTTTGAAAATGGAAGGCGCGAATTGGAAAGTGGGACTCAGCAGTAGCTCGTTACCAGACCCCAAGAGTCAAGTGCCTCCCTTGTTGCAAGGAGACGATGTGATGTTTGAAGGCTATTGGTTTGTGAAAGACATAGCGCAACTTAGCAACCGACACAATGCCGACGGTGCGGATTTCAAACCCAAGGACGTTCGGACGGGCGATTTGTCCAATCTGACGGGTGTGGAATTCATGAAGACTGTCAAGAGTTTTTTCGACAGGAAAGTGATTGAGAAGAGGCTTCGAGCTGGTTACCTATTCGCGGATAAAAATATCCATAAAAGCAATCTCTTGAATTTCCAATTTTAAGGGGAAGATTTTGTCATCGACAACACGGAACTCAACATGAGACTCTTCCAAGGTCATTATTATCCGCAAATCTACGTTAACCTTGAACTGGGTATCGACATGGGATGGTTTAAGATGAATGGAAACAATGTAGAGTTGGGACCGAATCTGTCCATGGAACTGAATAACAAAGAACTGAAAGTGCCAGCTGCCGTCGACATCAACCGAAGTACAGGCACTCCCTATTGGCAATTCACGCCCGACAAAAAGAGAGTTCAGTTGACCACCACCTTTTACTGGCGGTTCATCAACCTCAACACCTCCTTCAAGAACGTGACGGGCTCCAGCTCGCGTTCGTTGATGATTTACTCGGATGTGGGGAGCAGCGGGGTGGTGGGTAATCAAGTCGCGGATCTGTTGCCAGAAGTGAATTACAAGCGAGAAGGCAAAGGATTCCAGTATTTTGAGCCACTCCATGTTCAATATATTCCGGTACGCAAAGATTACATCGACATTATAGAAACACAAGTCGCGGAGACCACTGGTGAATTGACTGCATTCGGAGCAGGCAATACCATTGTCACTCTACACTTCAAACAAGAATGAGAGGCGGTGCTTTGACGCGTTTCAAACCCCATGGTCAAATGGGAAGAGGTTTCTTACGAGACTTTTCAGGATCCAGTTTACGAGAAGGATGGCAAGGTTTAAAAAAGGGTGGACCCATGGGATTACCCAACATTGCAGGTGGCATTCGAGGCGTGAGGGCCGGTGGGAAACGAGCCATTAAACGCAAAGCCTTGAGCGAAATCAACCGAGCAGCCAAACGCAAGTTGGACGACATTTTTGGAAAATGAATATGAATCCCATTTATTCGAGACGCGTTCGACGCATTCCTNGGCGGTTCATCAACCTCAACACCTCGTTCAAGAACGTGACGGGCTCCACCTCGCGTTCGTTGATGATTTACTTGGATGTGGGGACCAGTGGGGTGGTGGGCAATCAAGTCACGGATCTGTTACGAGAAGTGAATTACCTGCGAGAAGGCAAAGGCTTCCAGTATTTTGAACCTCTCCATGTTCAATATATTGCGGTACGCAAAGATTACATCGACATTATCGAGACGCAAGTCGCGGAGACCACTGATGAATTGACGAAATTCGGAGCAGGCAATACCATTGTCACGCTACAATTCAAATAAGAATGAGAGGCGGTGCTTTGACGCGTTTCATACCCGATGGTCAAATGGGACGAGGTTTCTACGAGACTTTTCGGGATCGAGTTAACGAGAAGGATGGCAAGGTTTAAAAAAGGGTGGACCCATGGGATTACCCAACATTGCAGGTGGTATTCGAGGAGTGAAGGCCGGTGGGAGACGAGCCATTAAACGCAAAGCCTTGAGCGAAATCAACCGAGCAGCCAAACGCAAGTTGGACGACATTTTTGGAAAATGAATATGAATCCAATTTATTCGAGACGCGTTCGACGCATTCCTCCCATCGTCAGCGAGTTGACGCGAGGAAGAAGGAGAGTACAAAAGGGAGGAGCCTTCTTACCCCACCGCAGACGAGGTCTAGACCCCACTTGGGTACGGAGCGCTCTCAAGAGAAGAAATCGACGAGGACCTAAACGACGACGATGACGGACATTGTCCCTCTCCCTGGTTCGGCGGGGGTCAAGAACCCCATGTTGAATTTGTTTCGGGTACCGCCCACGGATCTGAGTATCTCGAGTTATCGGATGGTACCCGTTCATCCTTTCACCACGGGCATCAACCCCATCGATTTTCAGATCGATCCGCAAGAAGATTACATCGATTTGTCTCGCAGTTACTTCGAATTGGAATGGAAAGTGCAGAAAGCAGCGGGAGGCGATGCCGTGTCCGCCGAAAACACCTTTTTGGTCAAGAACATTGCTCACTCCCTCTTCAAACAGATCAGCGTTAGACTCAATGGTACGCTCATCAGTCCTCAAAGGGACACCTACCATTACAAAGCGTACATCGAAACCTTACTGAATTTTGACAGAGACGATGGAGACACCATCTTGAGACCTCAAGGTTGGTTCAATCATGTTAATGTGCCCGACACATTGACAGCCACTCAACTGAATCTGGCACACAATGATTTCAAAGCTCTACCCCCTGAAAGACAAGCCCTGGTGCGTGAGCTCAGAGCCCAAGCCGCAAGCATTGACAGTATGACGCGCATTTACAGCTTCGTACCCCACATCGAAGTGTTTCACCACAGCAAACTCTTGATACCCAATGTGCAGATTGGTATTCAAATGTACTTCAATTCACCGGATGTGTGGATGTGGCAAATGGATGGCGCTGACACTTTCCGTATCGATTCAAGAGACATCAAAGTGAAATTGTATCTTTGCCAAGTCAGACTCAACCCCTCCGTCTACCGAGAATTGATGAATGACATGGGTAGTGGAAGAAACGTGGTCAGCTATCCCACGGTCAGAAGCGAGATCCGAACCTACAACATCACGCAAAACGAGTTACACTATGAAATCACCAACCCGTTCCAGAACCGATTACCAAACATGCTAGTGGTGGGATTGGTGGCTTCCACAGCCTTCAATGGTGCCGCCGACGAGTATCCTTTCACCTTCCAGCAATTTAATCTGACCAGCATCAAACAATTGGTGAGAGGAGAAACCTATCCCTATGAAACCTTGGAATTGCTGCACACCAATGGAAGTAGAGACCTGAGAGGCTACAGACAATTCCTACAAACCACAGGAAGTTTGTGCAAGAGCAAAGGAAACATGGTGAGAGCCAAAGATTGGGGACGAGGTAAAGGATGCACGTTGTTTGTATTTGAGAACGCCGCCAACGGTTGCCTCAACAGTCCAGTGTTGAACCCCAAGCTGAGCGGTGAGTTGCGGTTGGTGTTCGACTTTGGAGCCGATCAGGGTGCCAACATCACGGCCATCCTCTACGCCGAATTTGAAAATCTCTTGGAGATCAATAGCAACAAGACCGTGCAATACGACGTGTACCAAGTGTAATGGAAAAAGTCAGTTTGAACAATGTGCAGTTGGACGTGTTGGCCAGGAGTCAACCCAGTTTGAAACCCTATTTTTACGGCACGGTGCCTTGCGATCGTTTACCCGAGAAACCCCACAAGAAAGGACCCATGGGTTACATCGTCAACACGGACCCTCAAGGCCAACCGGCATTGGATTGCACTATGGACGTGTCAGGACGCTTGCGAGATCATGGACAGTTACGCGCTGCCCTTGGACACCTACATGACCACGGAACCTTTACAGAGGTGGTTGGATCAACATTGGAAGTTCAACGTCCACAACGGCAAGAGTCTGCAATCGCTGTACAGTCAGAGTTGCGGCGATTA